TTGTGAGTTGTAGTGGATCAAAACAAATCACATCCTTAGATACATGGAATATTGGGGAACATCAGTCTGGGAATTAGAGGAGCTTCTGATTTGGGTTTTACCTGCGTTATTTGACATTCTCTACACGTTCCACATCCCTGGTAAAGACCCTGGTGTTAGGAAAGTGTGAAGGCAAGAGGAGAAGTGGACGACAGAGGACGAGATGGTTGGACAGTGTCATCAAAGCAACCAACTTGAATTCGACTCGGCTCCGGGAGGCAGTGGAAGACAGGAGGGCCTGTTGTGCGCTGGTCAATGGCGTCATGAAGAGTCTGTCATGACTAAACAACAACACTTTTGACAATATTCCTCTATCTCATACTTATTCATACTTGGGCATCAAAATCTTTGTTTTATTCTAGGTATCATTTTCTGTGTTGCAAGGTGGCCTGCTATAGGTATCTCTTGTGCCAGTTGTAATATTGTTTTCCTCCATTTTTGAGGAATCACTAATTGTCTGTTGCCTTCCTTGTCTATATGGTATAACAAGCCTCCCTGCATTTCAAACCCTGTGTCGCCCAATCTAATAGTCTCCTTCTTTTGAGCTTCTTTCAGTAGTTCTTGCAATGTGGGATCGTCTTGCTGCCATAAACAGGTTTGCTCTCTTGAGGTAGCATTAAAGAGGTCGGCTGTATGTTGTTCTCTACATTCCCCTTGTAAACCTCCTTTTAAACGCAATAATTCGTGGGCTCCTACCCAATCTCTGCCCAGTAACATATCTCTAGTTAGCCCAGGTACCACTCCCACTTTTAACCTCCTGTGTTCCTCTTCAATTTCTGTATCTGCCCATGCCATTCCATACAACTTCAAATCCCCGTGAATGCACTTTACTTGCAGTTTCTCTTCCAGCACCACCCCTCTTATATTTTTCACCAGTGTTTTCCCACATCCCGTGTCCACCAAAGCCTTTTATCTCTCTCCTTTTACCCACGCCATAACCTCCCATCCGTTTCTTTCGGAGCCTTGAACCTGTAATGTACTTCGATTTGGTCCTACCCAGGAACAATCCGTCCCTGGGCATTCTTGGCAGAGATGGCCTTCTACACCGCATTTGAAGCAAATCATCTTCCCTTCTCTCTTCCCTCTCCATCTGATTTTGTCATCAAATAGACGGTAGTCAAAAGTTATTCGCCTTATAGGTTTCAGCCCCATGCTCCCAAAATCTCATCCTCTCCCTCTTGGATTTCCAAGAGAATTGAAAATGCCTCGTAGTGCCACACCTGCAAAACTTGCCAATGCCATTTTCTCTCTCCCTTTGTTTCTTTCTGCAGAGTAGGAGGGGCCATTTCTTCCATAATCTTCTGCATTACAGAAGTCCTCCACTCCGCAGATTGCCTCCTCTCAACTCTTGGGATGATTCTGTTGCACCCAGTTTCTGAGATTACCTCCTAATGTAATTACTGACTGTTCCATAACCAGCGATTCTAATATCTGCTCTTTAGATTTTTCTTCTGGTTGTAGCCACCAGATCAGATTAGCTTTCATCCTCTGCATTAGTGGTCAGGAATGCACTCCTGTTCTCATCTTTAACTCTCTAAATCTTTTCCTGTAAGCTTCTTCGGTCAAATTGATTGTGTGTAATATAGCCATCTTCACCACTTCGCACCGAGTGGCTTCTTCAGGAGATAAGATATTAACAACTTTTTGCAATATTCCCGTAAGACAAGGAGTTAAGATCAATGTTCATTGTTCTTTTGGCCAGCCCGCCGCGGTAGCCACCCTCTTGAACATATTAAGATATGCTTTGGGATCATTGGTAGCACCCATTTTTTGTACTTTGATGGGTGCGGGCCGGCGACTTATACATTCTTCATCTGATAGTTCCCTTTCATCTACTGACTCTTGTTTTAACATTTGCTTCATCAATAACGCTTGTTGTTCCGCTAGTGTCTCTATCAACTTTTCTTGTCTCTATTGTTTGCTACATCTTTGACATTTCTCTGATTCCCACAATCGGAACTTCCCCACATTGGGCGCCATTGTGATTAGGTTTGTTATAATTTGTGGGCAGTTCCTCTTGTTTGGCGCCAAAAAGGGACGGAGACTCTTTTGTAACATTAACTGATTTATTCATTAGAACATCGGGAGAATCAACCATTATCTCCACAGGATCAAATAAACTAATATCTTTTAACTGACCATAACTTGGAGTCAACAGTTCTATCTCTTTCTTGAAACGATTTGTAAGGAAGCTGGTCTAAACCATTCTTGATCCATTGGTTGGCGTAGTGGGGTGCTCCTCATGGCACGGATGGTCCCGCAACAGGGGTGCCTGGCCCAGTCGCTTTCTGGAGGAGGTTGATTGAAATAAGAGTCCAGCCAGACCACCTTCCTCCACCGACCCTGTCCTCTCGGGTACACCACCACTGTCCATTCTAATGGGTCAAGTGGGGTGTCCTTCGGTTTGGTGGTATCTTGGACTGGAAGCAGTCCTCCAGATTTCAAGTTTGAAAAGTCCTCCAACAAGCTTTTCATTCTCTCATAATCCTTTCCACTGTCCTCTCTTTCTGCTTTCCTTTCTCCTCTTCCTGCATCCGTCTCTATTCTGAATTCTCTCTTCTTCTCCCCTCCTTCTATATCCTCCTCCCAGACGGGTAAAACTCCTCCCCCTTTTCACCCTCGCTTTCCTCCACTAAACAATTTCAACCTTCTCTTTAAACCCTTTTGTCTCCTCATTAGGTATCCCCTTTTCACCTTCCCTTTCCTTTAATCTTTCTCCCTCCTGATGTATTTCGCCGCACACAGATATCATTGGAAAAGGGGACGGCACACTCTCCGTTTCCTCTTTCTCCTCTACATCTCTCTCACAGTGTGTTAGAGACAGAAGTCATAAAACTGAGTTTCAGACTTTGGGGAAGGACATTGAATAATACTGGATTGGTTGTGAAATGTGGTAGATTATAGAGCAAGCTGTTGCAAGTGAGGGCACTCTTGTGTCATGCGTTGGGTGCAAGTGCAACAGCACAAAGAGAATTTAGCAGCAGAGGCAAATGTCACACAGGGAATTCTGATGTTTCTTGATAAAATTGTGGGGAAATAAAGAGTGTCTTCTCCTGAAAACATAATGATTGACTTCCCTACATGAAGCATTTAAGGGCCACTTGAGTCATTTAGGTAAAGATGGAATGGAAGATGGGTTTTCAGTAAGCATTCGGTTGGATCTGACTAATTCAAGGGTGCAAAATCTTTGGCCCTTCAGATGTTTTGGACTTTGACTCCCAGAATCCCATAGGTTCAGCCATGCAACCGGGAATTGGCAGGCCAGAACATGTGGAATGCCATATTCTTCCTCCTCCTTTGGCTGAAATAGATTTGTACCCGCTGCACTCAATGAGACTTGCTGACCATTGTCTCATTGGGACAGAAGGTGATTCACTTCATCTTGATCCAATCCCCTGCTGTTTCCACATAAGACTAGAACAAAAACATGTTCACGTCAAGAATACTGGTGTTGCTTCTGGCCATCTTACTATGGAGCTTAGGGAGGTGAGACATCACAGTATTAATGGCTTGTTTATTTACTACTTCTAGCTGTATTGCATCTTTCATGAGTTACATACATCTTAGGCAGTATTTTCTTTTTTAGAAAAAAAAGTTTTTCTAGCTTCACAAATGTCTTGTCAGGCATCCTGTGATTTAAAAGAAAAAAGGAAAGGAAAAGCAGACAATTCCAAAATGTATTTTGCTCCTTGCTTATACCTGACATATTAAGTGCTGGATAGCTCAGTAGTTTAAGTGTCTGGCAGCAGAGCTAGACACTGGGGGTTTGATTCCCCACTGGACCTCCCTGACAGGGGTGGGACTTGATGAGCTATAGGGTCCCCTTCCTTGCAGATCTAAGATTATGATATATATATATTAAGCCACTGCACAATATGGCCAAATCAAAAAGGGAAGGCTTTGGGTTTGTTACCAAGAATCACACATGCTGAAAATAGACCAAAAAAGAGCAATTCTACCCGACACAGAAAAACTGAAGCCCGACAGGAGCCAGAAAGGTGCAGGTAGGTCCACTCCAGGAATGGGCTCATTTGCTCCAACAAAGGCATTGTCTGCTCCCAATTTTTAGCATCAAACCAGCTAAAAATTTGTTTGGTTCACTGTTTGTAATGAACCAAACAGCAGGCTAAATGCCTATATACTCAGCCTTATCCTAAAGGAAAGTAACTCAGGGGTGTGAACTGCAACAGGAGCAGCTGAAGAATACGGTCTCCACAAACTCCATCCTCATTTGATACAGAGTAGCCCCACTGGAATAAATCCAGGCTGACATGTTGTGGACTAAGAAGCCTTGATCTCTACTTAGGACTTCAAGACGCCCTGGAAGTTATTCATATACTCAATTTCCACCGCTCCTTTCTATGGTCTGTTATTTGTATCCTCACTACCATGGGGATGTGCATAAATGAAGAGGGCATGTATTCTCCAAGAATGGGGAAAAAACGGCTCCAGGACAGAACATTAACGTCGGCTAAATGCACGAAAGAAAAAGGGGGACGGACCCCACGTAGTCCTTGTACACAAAGTCTGCCGAACTTCCCTCCTGCGCATGCGCCAACGGCCTTCCACGACCCCGCCCGATTCTTCAAATCTCCTCGAGGCCTGGGGGGGGGCGCCTCTGCCGCTTTACGCATTCGCACCAGTCTCCCTTTCCTTCAGCGAGGGTGTATTCTCTAATGGTACCTTCCCTGTCAGCGGAAAAGCGCATAACACGTTTTAAACAGCGGTGAACTCTTTGTTTTAAATGGCTCTGACGTACTCATAGCAAGTCAGAAAGATGTTAGGCTAGTCGCCTTCCTCTGGATATTCATTAGTTCTCATGTCAGTCTAAAACCGCCACCCCTGCCCGAAGGAAAAGCTCAAAAGGCATGGGCGGGTGCGTGGGTTTGGCGCATGCGCCTTCCCTCAAAACGACTTTTTCCCGTCGTCCTCTGCGTGCTATAAATTTTCGCGCGACGGCGGGTGTTTTCTTTTCGCGGCGTGGGACGTCGGTTGGCGAGCTTGCGTTCCTGGCGTTTGCAAACGGTGTCGTCGTCCAGCCGTCCTTTTTAAAGCTGTGCGAAGAATAGGGTGAGAGCTTCACGTTACCCATAAAAGTTGGAATTTAGTTATTGTTGCTAAACTTTATTTTACTTGTAATTTTATAATTTGTTTTATAAAAAAAGCTGGGCCGGCCTGGCCGGGGTAGGAATTCCATTTCTTCATGGCAGCTTTAAAGCATCGTCTGTTCCCTCTTTTCCATCTCTAAAACCATAAAGAAATCAAATGACGGCTTTTTTCTCTTAAATATGGTCGTGAGAAATTAGAAGAGGCACGTAAGTGATGTTCGATTTTGCGCGTTGAGTGTTTTATGCTAAATAGCTAGAGGTTTTTTTCCTTAAAAAGAGTCACAAAGGGAGAGAGCGAGAGTCCCTCCCCCCCCCACCCGGGCCAGGCAACCCGTCTGCACTTGCATCGCCGGCAGGCGCCAGGCCGAGAGGAGCAGGGC